TTGCGTTCCAACTGTTCGAACACCTCGATCTCTTGCAAAACCCCTTGTTGAGCCTTCGAGGCCACTCCCCACGATTGAAGGGAAACCAAAAGAAGGTTGTTGCAACCGGTGGGGGGCCCAGAGCAAGACCCTGCCCTTGCTGCCTGGTGGTACTCACACATCGATACAGCCAAAAGCTACCTGCTTAAGAAACATCTCGCAATCAGCTTTGCAAAGCCGAAATGTATCCAATTTCTGGAACCCAGGTTCCAATGCCAAAGCTACGTGGTCAAACCTCGGGACCTCAATTGTGGGCGGACCTGAGGCACAATGGGCGAGGAGCAGTCGAATGAGCCGCACATGCCTGTGATGTCACTCATCAGGAGACGTATTTTGGGCATCTTCCAAGGCTTTGGTTTTACAATGGTCTTGAGTGCATGCTCAAAACCCAACGCCTCTGCATAAAGAAAGTCGAATCTCGATGGCACTGCCAAAAGTCCTGAGACTGCTGCCTATGTTCAACCAAATTGGCCTACAAAAGATATGAAGGCTGCGCAAAGCTGAGCGAAGCTCCGATCACCCTTCTGAATCCAGGAGAAGCCAGCATAGCCCTAGGAATCATAGATACATGTCTTGAGCCATCCAAAAGATTCGGGCTTGCAAGTATTGAAAATCAAACAAGTGAAATATCTCTAGTCATTCAAACTGGTGGGACGACCCCCTGATCCGCAATCCTGAGTAGGAAACCTCTCCAACAGCCCCCCACCACCACCTCCTGGCATAATCTTGAGTGATTTTCCACAGCCCCAAGTGTCTCCGCCAACTTCCCCCACCACCCCCCACCACCACCCCCAACCACTCACCACCACCCGGCGGATGCCTCGCAGCTGAGGAGGTCATAGAGCACGGCGCAGCGGTCCACCGCCGCCACCTCGCGGTCCTCGGAGCCTCGGAGTCCAAGTGGATATGGGTGTCGTTTTCTTGAGGGGGAACCCCAAAAAGCGGGTGTGGGTTCAAGGGAAACCTAAAGGAAGCCAACCATAGGGGTTCCCCTATTTGGAGAAAACCATATCTCTATGTTTGTACAATATCAATTGATATACATAATAATTACATAGCAAGTGAAGCCATGGCATCTACTGTGGATTCCAGGCAGATTTCTAGCAAGTGAACCAACACCGCACCTGGTGAATCGCGGCAGAAATCCGCCGACACGGGGTGATTTTAAACATGAAACAATGAAGCCAGCCGCTGGAGGCAAAGTCCAGTTTGAAACGTTCCTCTGTTGGATGGGTGAACCCAGGTAAACCCACAAGAAACCAAAACACAATTCGAAGGTGTCAGATTCCCATGTCGGAACCAGGGACGGGGAGTTACCAAGCGAATCAACCCAGGAGACTGATCGAAACCTCAATTAAGGAGTTGTTCACACCCGCAGCCTACGGTTCATGATCCCTGAAGGTAAAAAATCGGACCCTGCCTTACTCTACCTATCCATGAAAGCTGCGGATGATGGACATGTAGGATCTGAATCTACACAGAAGTCGGACACCTGCCTTGTCCCACCCACGAATTCAATTAATTCAGAATGATCCAAGCCGGCACGAGGTATATGAGACTTCTAAAGCCTGTTCAATGTGAACCTCATGTTTGCTAAAAACTTGAAGCTCCGAAGCCGCTTCCAAATAGGCACCTCTCTGATAAACCACTCACTTGACGCTTGTCAAAGCAGCCACACCCTATAACGGAGGAGAAGACTTGCAGAGTCTGTCGCGAGAGCTCTCGAGTCTAGGTCTCCGTGCTTGTGGCCTCGTACTTGTGAATGAAGTAGCTGCCGATCTTCAGCATGTCCAACCTTGATGCCAAGATCGCCACATGAAAATGGCCCTGAGCCACATGTTTGTCCAAGGCACATACCCTTCCACCAAACATGCGAGTTCATAGGCTGCCTTTCCAAGAGGAAAGTAGTCTTCCGCAAGGGGTCTGTGCAACTCCATGTTTGTTGGAGGGCACCCCTGCCGACCCGAAGAATGATACGCATCCTGGGCATGGAGCTTGGGGCAAACATGAAACATCGGGCTATGGCAGAATGGTGAAGCCCCAAAACGGGTGGGTTGCGGTTGACTTCCCTTGGAACAACCCCAGACTCCTTCAAAAACGGCGCACCCAAATATGCAGCTACCCGCAGACATGGATGACGCAAAGTTGCCAGCCACTGCCCAGTGCACGGAAGGGAAACCAAAAGGACCCAACCCAGTCTTGGCGGGTGGCCCTTCAAGAAACACCGTCCCGTTTCCCCCAAAAACACAAAGCGCGGCTTGGTAGCTTGCCTTTCAACAAAACCGAAGCCCATGTGTGCCCAAGCTCCGCTTCAAGTTCATGGACACCCTTTTTGTTTTGACATGAGCAATGATGCAAGCTTCTTAGGGTCATGATTACGATTGCCTTGGTGGAAACGCATATTGAATCGCTTCGGTTGTATCAAACTCCTATAGGATGACCAACGCTTTGGTGCACAGAGCGGGTTTTCACTCGACCCACTCAGGTTGTTCTCGCCAAACCTCCCATGGAATCTAATGAAGGCCCCGAGACCATTTCCGAAGCTATTCGGGTGAATGCAGAGAGAAAGCACTGCAGATTCACAGGCTCTTAACCACTTTGGAGGAACAGAACCGTTGCGGGTTGCAGAACAAAACAAAACACAATTTGCAAGGGATTACCGCCCTCGGCAGATACCCCCAAAACGATACGAAATCACAAGGTTTGATCTGGACACACCGCCAAAAGGGACTTCCCAGTGGGCATGCTCTTTTCTGGGTGGGTAAACAAAAGCAAGGCGAATCTGGAGGGTGCGTCTTTGTGTCAACCCCATCCGCAACCAAACCCTTTGGCCCGGGGCTCGGGTGTGTGTGTGTGTGTAGGAGCAAAGGGCACCCCAAAGTGCCCAAACCGGCTCCTGCAAAGAGTCCCAACCTCATGGTAACAGTTGTTTCTGCGGGGTTCCAATTGACAAACCCCTGGGGTGGTCTCTGTTGTTTGTCTAGCAAGCCTCTCAAAACCTGCGTTGGACCTAGATTTCAAGGCTTTCAAGACCCTGGCCGTCCGTAAAGAGAAACCGGAAGGTGGTGCCTAGCCAAACCAGAAGGCGCTGCGGCCTAAAACCATTGCGGGAATGCGCGAATCTATCGAGATGCCTTCTGTCAAGCCCAGTTGCAGCAACCCCACGGTTGCGCAAGTAATCACCCTTTCTGTGCTACCAAAGTAGGCCAGCTCCATGACTACTTTCATACTTCTATCACTTTCAAATGTCTGTGGGTCAAAAATGCGAACCGAAAATGGAACCCTGGTGAATGGAACCAAAGACTAAAACCTGCAGTCCCCTGATTGTTTTATTTTGACCCATACCCAAATAGGTCCCCTTCGCAGAGAAATTGCCTCAACCCCACATTTTTCTACAACCTGCTCACCGTTCGAGCAGCTCCAGCAGCTCCAAGTCCTCCAACGCTGCCTCGTGCAGCACCTCGAAGCGCCGAGTCGATTCGAAGCCACGACCATGGGTTGCGGACAAAGCTACGAATGTTATCCCGAAAGGACATGCCAAAAATTGTTGGGGCCCTCCATCCCTCCAGTTTTGGTGGGAGATGTGGGTCTCCCAAGTCCTCCCAACACCCACCATAGACAGGCTCTTGAATGAGAACCCGGTTCAAATACACAGCAAAAAGGTACCCTCAAGGAAAAGCGTGTCTTCTGGGTGGATCGGATCATGAGTTTCCAATCTGAAACAATGATTGTTGGATACCCTTTTGGAGGGGAAGAGGTGGAGGCTCTCCTTAATTTTACGGATCTAAGTATGGTGTTCCGGTCAAAACCCAATGCCATGCTTTGCGGGGGTGGTTTGCCAACCAACGAAGAAGGGACTGGAAACAGCCTCGACAAATCAAGGATGCCGTGCTCGAGGATGTCCTGGAGAAAACTCTGAAAGACAAGGACATCTCAAAGTATCTAGTGCTTCACAACATCTGATTTCATCTCTGCATGGGGACCTCCAAAAAAAGGTTGGCGTCCCTTTGGCTTCACTCCAAACTGGGTTTCCCCACACGCCGGCCCATGGAGTCGAGCACAATGTCGTCGGAGCGCTTGAACCTGACCAATAACCCGGGAAACTGAATGAGGGGGGCCCTTTGGATAGCACTTCGGGTTTAAAATGGAGAGATAACATGAGATGGGCTAAACCACCTGTGATGACTTGTGAGATCAGCTAAAGTGCAAGCTTTGTGCATACAGTTATATCTCGGAGTTGCCATAGTATAGGGCCAACTTCAACAGAGAGAGATAAAGCAACACATCTGACGTGGCTGACGAAACATACGGGCTTAGATTAGGATTGCTTCAAAAACATGCGCTTTGGCTCGTCACTGGCATATCGGCTGCAATATGGAACCCGAAAACGACACATAAGCAAGAATGTCTAGATCTTAGCATTCGACTCACCCAAAAGGTTTATCAAATGACCGTGATCCGCGTTGGGAGCCCAGATTGCGCGGATACCCTTGTGCCCACTTCTACTCAATCCTAAAAATGGCCACGAGCCGCGGCCCCCCGAGGGATGTTTGCACACATGCAACATCATACTGTATGCACGAGAGGTAACTAAGCTATCCCCTTCTTGGCACGCCTGAATGCGTTAGTTACCTGTTTGAGGGCACTTGCCACAGTCAGCCCATCAATGGATCTGGGGTGAGGGCAATTAAAGAACGACACGACACACACACACACACACGACACATGGGCTTCACCCCTACTTGATTCATGCACTATTCATTGACTTGCACGATAGCGAAGGATGGGTCTGGGGGTCTGCACTTGCAAGGTTGAGGGCATGGCTTGTAGTGGCTTGTAGGGGGAAGCCCTGATTTGTGTGTGTGTGTCCTTTTCTAGGGGACCCCTCCAAAATGCCTCCAAAATGGTGGTTTTCCTTTTGGTGCTCCTTGAAACTATGCCAAAATGGGTACTCTCATAAAAGGACACGCTATCTTCCCAAGGGCTTCCAAGGCCCCCGACGTCTCCCGGTCCAGCTTGCGCCCAACCTCCACGAAGCAATTGCTCTCTGCACCTAGGCAGCTGATCCGTACGAGCCCTTTCAAATTGGATTCTCTTTGTTCTTTTGGATGGTTTTACTGGTGTTGGTGTATGTTTTGGCCTGTCAATCAGCTTGCGTCGTTGAACTTCCCCTCGTTCCGACAGTCGATGGGGGGTGGCAAAAGGGGCGGCAACTGAGCCCAAAGAGTCTCCCAGCATCGGCCAAAAGAATTCTTGTAAGCTTGCCCAGCTGCAAGGAACTGAGCTCACCCAGAACCCTCCTGGAGCCCGCCCCATCTTCCAACCAGGATTGGCCTACCTCAAACACGGATCTCCTAAACCCAAACAGGGCCACGAAAGGTCAACCACATGGGATCCACGGCGCAAGCCCGCTTGCTTCCCCAATTCCTGGGGAGCAGCTAGAAAAGACCATATATTTGAAAGAATGGCGGGGACCAGAAACGCTGCTTTAATGTGGATCCAGCAATGGCAAGTCAATGAAAGTACGAACCCATTCCATATGTCCCAGAAACAATCGCTATTTTGCGGCCCAACAAACAACAACTGAAAGCAACAAACTACGGCACGGGCTGCTCATGAACTCGCAGTCACATCCCTTGCTGAAAGCCAACGACCCCAAAATCATGAGCAACGTGTGGCATGTGAGTGTCAGTGCTTGTCCAAAACAGCGTGGAAGGGGCTTTCACTGGCAGGAATGACCCCAAGCACAGGACACATTTTAAGTGGCAATTCCTTTGGGCCGGAACAAACAAGCACAGCCAAATGGCAACGGATCACCACGTGCGACGATCACATATTCAACACAATCACAAAGATGACCAAAACTAACACCACAACCAAAATGACGAAAAAGCAGCAGCAGCAGCAGCAGCAGCAGCAGCAGCAGCAGCAGCAGCAGCAGCAGCAGCAGCAGCAGCAGCAGCAGCAGCGGCAGCAGCAGCGGCAACCACAGTCGCATATGACGACGATAGGGAGAAGCATAAGGTAAGGTCAATGACAACCAGGACATTGGTAACAACACAAAAAAAACTGTTCTGACCTCTATCCAGCCAGCCAGCCGACCAGCCAGCGTCCAGCCAAAAAAACAGTTAGTACGTGTGGGGTATGCACATTTAAGAGCACTATATGTGGTTGGCTTATCACATTGATAATGTTTGGTTGTGAGGTGACAGCGTTGTTGTATCTTGTCAGGATGTCAGTGCTTGCTCAAAATGTATGTGGAGGATCAAGATGGTAATCCTTTGGAAGATCATCCGTCAAGGCGGCGTCAACACGTCGCCAGCGTCCGAAAAAAACACGCCCCGAGTTTTCACCTGACCTTGTAAGCAACGCTGGCATTTGGCTCTTACGAGGTCACAACGGGTTATACAGGCCTTACGGTATGCCCTATGCAACGAGCCAATAGATGTCTTGGGCTCTGTGTTGTCAGAGGGCCTCAATTGAGACAGGCATCTGTGGCCCTCCTCAACCAGCGGCAGGGAGCAGTGCTGCAAGATCCTGCACGGCCCAAGCGCAGCCAGAGAAACGCGAACTGTTGCCCCCATGCAGATGTTCACCTGGAATCCCAGCATGGAACTAAACATGAGAACTTCGCTTGAGGAGCCTCCATTGAGGGGCCCATGTTGCATTCGAGAATTGTCTGTGACTATTGTGTGTTCTTACCTCTTTCCCGTGAAGTGAACTTGCCTGTTTGAGAGTGTGTTACTTGATGCGACCACGTGTTTGCATAAGGTATGGGAAGCGTTGCACTGCGCTTGATCTTTGTATCAACACGCATCTCGAAGTTGCTTCAAAGCCCCCCAGACATCACAGGAGCCTTGCTGCTACCCTTCAAGCAAGCATATAAGACGCTCAGAAATAATACGTCGGAACTCGACAGAAGGGCTCCTCCACATGGCCCGTATGGGCAAGGGTCCTAAGCCCTCAACTTGGACTTTGGAGGCCAACATGGCGGGAACCTCTCACCTCAGCATGTCAAGACGTCTAGTGGGTCGAAAGCTTCATACCGTCTCTCTATATCTTTCCATCCCTGCCCAACTTCTGCGCGAGCATTCTGCTCGACAAGGGACACGTACTGCGACATGATGACTGCAAGCAAGGAGCCTGGTTGAATGAACACGTGCTCCTACATGCAAATGCATTTTGAACAAGCACGAACGTTCAGCGTGCTGCTGCTTCTGCACTGAAACGCAAAACCGGCGTTTTGCGAAGGTTTTCTTGGGAGGAAGATTGCCTCAACGTTGACCCTTTGTAGCCGGCCCTGAGGGTAATTTGCTCAGTTGCTGTTTGTTCAGCTTGGTTTGATGTTGGGCTCCGGAGGTGCTGGAGCGTAGCTCGTGGGCAAAAGCGGCTGTTGGACAAAAAACCTGGCTGGCTCACGTCCCCCATTCCAGGATCCCTGTCACCCTGTTGCGGCATGCTTTGGCCTGTCATTTCGATTGGCCGCTTTTGGCCCCCTACATGACTAGAACCCACCTGACACTGGTGTCATCGATTTTCAATAAAACTGACCTAAAAGCACACCCACGCACCCCCCCACCGAAAGAAGAAAAAAAGTGGTGTCTACTCGGCTTCCTTCTGAACCAAACCCAAAACAGGAACCAACCCCAAATCGCCCCAAACTCGCGAAAACCAGCCGAAGCCTGGAGAGCCCTCGGCTGGAGATGTCCCAGTACTTGTCCTGCGCCTTCTCCTCCACCTCAGCACATCCAGAAATGGGGTCCCCCACGGGCCCACGAGTTGAGGTCGTATCCATGAGTTGCCATTTGAGTTGTCATATTATCCCATGTGTGCTTGAGTCGGATTGGCAAATAAACTTGCATTTGTTACAGCTTGTGTCACTTTTTTTGCCACCAGTTGCCCAGTGACTCTGGTAGAAAAGGGAACCCTTTTGGGGCCCCTCTTCCAAACAACAAGGGATTTGGGTGGAATCCACAGACCTGTGTAATCCCTAAGGAGAATCCAATGCAAAGAATTCACAGTCCATTCTGCGAATGAGTGTGGTTCTTTCCCGCAAGGAGGCTCCTCTCAGGGCAACTTGTTTCGTGGCTTTTGCCCGTGGGATGCTTTCCGGGTACATGCATAGTGGGTTTAGGGTGGGTTTGGGGTTTGTTTAGGGTGGGTTCGGGGAATTAAGGTTTCGGGCGGGTTGAGGGTTGCTTTAGGGTGGGCTTGGAGCGGATTGTTTGGGCTGGCTTAGGGTTGGTTTAGGTTTAGTTAGGCTTGGGGGCGGCTTTAGGGTGGGTTTAGCCCAGGTGTGTGGTGTCTTTAGGTTGGGTTCAGGGCTGGTTGCGGATTGGTGATTGCGTTCATTCTGTTTGTTCTTTGTTTTATTTATTTGTGTCTTTCTTTCTTTCTTTTCTTTCTTTCTTTCTTTCCTGCCTGCCTGCCTGCTTGCTTGCTTGCCTGCCTAGTGGGTAGAAGAAAATTTGCACCCCCAACTATTCTAACCTCCTGCTGCTTCTTCTTCCTGTTGGTTCAAAGAGTGCCAGCTCTGCTTGCAGCTGCCCCCCATCTCTGTATCTCCCTCTCTCCCTCTCTCTTGCAAAGGTCCACCGCAGATCATCCCCATGGAGGGCAGCGGCAGACTTGGGCTAACCCAAGCAACATGAGGCAAAAAGGCGAACAGTCTTCCGGCAATGGTCCGAAAGGGTGCTCGTTTTTGCATTTTAGGAGCCTAGTTAGTCGCCCTCCCCCCAAAACAAAAGTGTTGGGCCTGTGTGAAGTCGCAGGGGAAAGCTGAATATGGCCCATAGTCTCCCTGCTAAAGCTGCCACGGACTTTGCAGTCACGCTTGCTGCACCCCTTACAATCATGGCACCACGATCTTCAGCAAAAGCTGTCTCTGGCAGTCTCAGCATTCCACTGTAGATGCGAGAATGTGCCGCAGGGGAAGCCCGCCCAATCGGTGGTTTCCTTTTGGCTTCCCTTTCAACCATCCGAAAAAAGTTGCCCTCGAAAAGCGACGAGCCGAAAACCCTCGCTCCAGTCTATGTCCTCCCGTATCAACTGCTGGCCCAAGAAAATCTCAGGCAGCCGCCCTTCGAGAAGGATCTCCACCTGTGAGACACGCTGCTCGCGTGAGCCACGGTCAAAACTACGTCGTTTCCCCCAAAGGGACATGAGTCATGAGACATTGAGTCAGTCCCCTGGTGTTGGTGGATTTTTGCTTGAGTTGCCCATGTCCTCAAGTATAACCAAAGGCTACTGGTGTTGACCGAACCTCAGGCGCGCCTTGGCTCCATCCTTTCTTTACGCACTGGCTTGTACGACCGTGCGACCGTGCTTGCTTGCTCGAGGGCTGGCATTTTGATGTTTACTGATTTACGCATTTGTGTGTGTGTGTGTGTTGAGCTGTTTCGTCGCTTTCTTCGTAAATTGTCTAGCAGCTTGCATGTTTGACCTTGCCTATCACTGGCTTCTCCAATAGGCATGCGTTGTCTTCCCGAACCCGCCATTCAAACTTGACTCGCAACTCCGTATGCTCATTCAGGGCACACCTCACTCACCGAGACGCAGAACTAGCTGCACTTCCCCTGTCCAGGTCCTTAAAGTAGTTTCATTTTCAAATCTTCTCAAAAAAAACAAGGTCCCAGAGGGTGTCCCTTTCACTCGCAAGATGCGCCTCTGCCGATGTAGTTGCTGCCTTTGCCGGCGTCCATCTCGGTGGTCTGAACGGCCTCGAGGAGAAAAAGCCCATAACATCTAGAGAATCCAGGGCTTTCCCTTTGGTCGGGGTATTCTGACCATGATACAAACTCAATGGCTGATAAACTATTTGGTCAGTCGCCCACATGAGGTGGTAGACGTGGAGGGAGCCCCAAAATGGGTAATTTGCCTTTGGGTTCTCTCTGAACCACGCCCAAACAGAATACCCCAAAAACATCATCTGCCTCCTTTGCCTGTGGCAATGAAGCCGTTCCGAAGACTATGGCACAAAGGTAAACCATTGTTGTCTGGAACTTGCACTCAAAGCACCCTGACCCCCCTTGAAGGATTGGATTCTGATGATTCAGGAGCAACTCTCCTCCGTACAAGTACAAGCCCGAACAGCGTCGGCCGAAACGTGTCTCCAAGATTGGCGAAGGCTTCGTCGCTGTTGGCGAAACAGGGCTGACCGGTCGACGGGCTTCAGTCTGGTAGCAGTCGTCTTGCCGGTGCAAGTTATCACAGCAACAGTTTTGAGATGGCCAGCCGCCAACGAACACTTGGCCCATGATGCTGTCAAGCAGTTTCCGTGAGGCCCAGATTGTTTCAAGGACATGCATGCCAACCAAGGGTCCTTATCCCAAAAGAGTGAATGTAGTTGTCTACCTGCTAATGGCTTTTTTGGTCTGTAGGTTCAAGGCATTGCTCCGACAAGTCAGTTTGTCACCTGCAGCATCAGCTGAAACCAAGAGTGACTGGTACCCCGGCAAAACCATGAAAGTCACACAAGTGAGCATATCAGCCAGCCTCTTCCGCGTTTGGCCAAGACGCAGCCTGTTTTTGCTGGCTGCAACTTCAGCCAAAAGATCGCACGGGCCATTTGGCCATCGCCGGAGTCATCGGGGGTCAAACTGGGGGTCTCCCGTAACACGGGTTTGGCGTGTCTCAAATGGAATAGGCTGCTGTTTTCTTCTCCACATATAGAACGCCCAAGAAAATGGCTCTTGAATTTTCGGATACCGCCAGTTTAAGTCGTGTTTCGCAGCATTCAAGCATATGTCGAGAAATGGGGAAGTGAAAAGGGCTATATGGGCTCTTGATTGGGGCATTTCGCCAATATCTGTGAACAAACAACAAAAGGCGGTTCCCCAAGTGTGTCCTCACAGAAATCCAGGAAGCTCCTTAGCTCCCTGTTCAAAAGCTGGACTCCGGGCTGCCGGGCCGCCACCCCCGCGAGCACACGCCGCTGCAGGAAGCGGAAGAAGTTCAAGGACTGAGCGGAGAGTGAGCGCTTCCTAAGAGAATCACCAGGATGGATGTCTATATATGTATATATGTATGTACTTATATATGCATATGAATATATGCAATGTACATGTAGCATATATGCATATATGTGCTTCTTGTGTGCACAAAACCGCCGATCGTGGCGCAAATTCCGACCCAGAAAGGGAGGCAAATTCAAGCAACACTTCCAAAAGACATAAGCTGCCGCAACAAAAATAATTGCTGTGCATCAAATACACAGTCGCGAAAAGCCGTGTGGTACTTGAACCAACCTCAATGGTCACTGGGTTCAGTGGTCTTGCCACCCACTTTGTGTTTGGTTGTTGCAGGAGCCGCAGTCGAGAACCAATAAACAGTGTGATCATTTCAAGTTAGTGAGTCCCCTAATTACATGGTCTGATTGCTTTTCAGGATATCGGTGCAAGGGCATGGACACGCTGTGAGCGTTGTATCTGTTTCCAACTCAAATTTCAAGGCTCCTGCAACGTGTCGCTAGGAGTAAGAGGAATTCGGAAGGTTGGGTCTTGACCGACTTGGACGAAGAGTCGTCCTCGTTTCGGATGGAACAGAAAGCGCTGTATCCTCTTCTGCAGCCAAATAAAACAACGGCTTGTATGAGGCAGCTAGCCGACAGTATGTGACGGTTTCTCATGTCTTCCGTTCGGGGGCAAAACAACAAGCACTAGCAGGACTTTCTACAAAGTTCATCTTCCAGTCAACATAGCAAAGGGAACCCCTTCGAGCGGGAACTGCCACCAAACTCATCTGGTATCTAGCAGCTATGCCCAGGACAACTTTGCTCGAACAGAACGGTTTCCAGTTTTGCTACCCAACCGCGCTTGGGCCAGTTGCCTCCTGGAGTGGGTCGAGATTGCATGTGGGATTGTGTTCGTTGTTTCGTGGAAGGAATTGGTGGAGCTGTTTGCTCGCGCGCTGGAGAGTGATGCAATGCAGAGCATGTTGAGGGAATCGGATTGTTTACTACCTGTTTAGCGTGTTTTTTCACGTGGTGAAAACGCCAAAGCCAAAAGACAAAAGTCGGCAGCCAAGAAACCAGTACGCCAAACAGCCCAAAAAAGCCCATGGAAAACCAAAACAAGTATTTAAGAAAGCGCAACATCCTGTCAAACATGGCGTTCCAAAGACGAAGCCTCCACGACGAAGCCCCCAATCCAATCACCGGAATTGCCTGCAATAGCTGCCACCGTAGTGACCGGCTCTGCAGGTAGCGCAGCATGTAGTACCTCGGGTTTGGGTAATTCAACCCCACAAGGGTAACATTTAACCCGCAAAGGAAACCAAACCAATTGTCCTCCCTTGTGATACAATCTTTTTCTTGGCTCGTGGAGGCTCAAAGGGCCTTGCGAGGAAGCGACCTATGTGGATCCCAGATCCCACGCGACCACTGTGATATACCTGAGTCACAAGGCTAGATCCTCCTTTGCAAATGGCGCCCATGATTTGGCAGATATTGCTTGAGGTGATCGAATGAGCCGTTCGTTCACAAGAAGGATGCAAATCGGTTGGTGTTGATGTTTTGCCGTGTAATGTAGAGCAAAAATGGCTCTTGGGTATCTATGTAACCTCACACCATTGGACAAGCATGGGTCAAACTATGCATGACCTAAGAGAATGGCAAGGGACCCTCTGGGCAAGGGAAAAGGCGGACTTTTATACCGTGCAGCAAAGTGACGTAAAGCTACATGTGCCAGGCCCCTTGTAGTCCCCGCCAGCGAGTAGAACTGTCTTATTTAAATTGACAAACCCGTCAGGAATCACAAGTTGATGTCTTGCCGTCGTGTTGGGACCTGTGCATTGTGCCTTCTAATTGAACGTTAGATTCAGTTGGAAGCCTGCCCATGGCACAGTTGCCCATATCAAACGTACAGCCTACAAAGCACAAAGCCCTTCTGTCGCTGACCTCCACCAAGAAAACCTGCAACTAGGGAAGCGCTTATTGTGCGTGTCTAACAGATCAGAAAACAAGTGTGACAAAATTCGGCATCTCGCCACACCACCGCATGGACCAAATGACCATGTACCCCCCCAGGGATCAAATTCAGGGACCCCCACGGCCACTTTATGTCCCGTTTCGCAAATATCGTTCTTGTAAGGGTCAAGCATGGTGAGCTGCCAGCTGATGGGGTAGCAGCCTCCCTGCGCCAACCTCCATAAAGCTTCTTCCAAGGCACGCCCAAAAACTCGAGACTTCCGTTTTGGGTAGTGTTGAAAAGAGAAACCAAAAGAAACCCAACCATTTTGCGGCGCTCTCCATTTTGGAAACCTCCCACAGTGACAATTAAGGCTTAAAATGCCAGTGGAAAGCAATGCCGCTCTCCACGTCCGCTGGTAGCGTCACGTCTGATGAGTGGTACTCATTTCTCTCACGACGGCCAGAACTCCCAAGTGTGCCAAAACACCGCTTTAATGCCAACAAGGTTTGAGTTGTTCATTGCCAGCCTTAAGACAGGATTTCCCCTTTGACTTGGACAGCCATCCCGAGCCCTTCTGCCGACTCAGCCTGAACCCCTGAGCCCTGGACGCGCGAAGGAGGTGGTTGGGCAGCTTTTCGCTCGCCTTGAATTCCGACTTAGAACACAACAGGCCATGCATCCGGGTAAACTATCATTTACACTGATTAACATGGATGAGAATCCCGCATTTTTGTAGAGGGCCCTCCTTTGGGAATTCAGTTGGAGGCTTCAATGGGTAATCTCAAACCAGGACCCAAGACAGACACCTGGCACCTGAACTCGCCGACCCATGGTGCGAGCTCGAAGTGGCCTGTGTTGAACTACTCCGTGGTGAGATTGGCACCATTTGACCAGCAATGGCCGTGGCTGAACATTAGACAGTGATTGGTCCTGACAGTAGCCAGAGATTCAGGGTGTTGGTCTAATGCCAACTGATCAACAGGAACCCCCCCCACAATGGACATCAATCCCCCAATGAAATTCAAACCCACCCACGTCCCACCCAAAAGATTCGACGCCGAGGCTCCGTGAAGTCCGCGGTGCCGGGGCCGCCCACCTCCAATCCGAGGCCCACGGATTCGGAGAGAGATGGCGCTGCTTTGGACATGAAACGAATAGTGCCATCTGTCAGGCTGTCAGGGCTTAGGTCTTCTGGCTGGCAACTTTGCGGTTTTGGAAAACAAAGGGATTCAACAGGAAGCCACAACAGGATGGTTCGCTTCGGGGTCGTTCTCTCATAACACCAAGTTTCTTCCCCTTTGCACCGGAAGAACATGGGCCAAAAAGGGAAAGCCAAACAGTTCAAAGGTTGGCTTCCCTTTCAATCAATCTGCGGGCCGTGCCCTTCACTTGAAGGCAACGGTTCAAAGTACAGGCCGGGTGAATCATAGAATTGGTCAAGGATCAGAAATCTGAGATTGGAGTATCACGGATTCTGTACGTTCCTTTCCTGAAGTGTTCCCCGAACGGGAAGTACCGCGCAGCTGCGTAAGCCAGTTCGCGAAACGTGCCCATCCAGCGCTGGCTGCTATCATGCGTTCCTCAGCAAAACATCCACTCTCTTCAGTAGCCGTGCAAATCACACGCTTCCTCATTCGCGGACCGGTAAAGCAGCAGTTTCTTCAGATGAAGGACCAAATGGTGAAGGAACAGCCAGGATTGCACCGGCCCTGCTTTGGCCAGCCGTTCGGACTTGCCCGCGGGACTGCTCTGCAAATTAAGACACGTTGGACGACTCATGCGCGAAGACGAGCATCTTCGTGGTTTGGTCAAACATGCCGCTCCACCCAAACTTGATCCTGGGTCGGGATTTTGTTTGCTGAGACTGAACGTGGCTTCTTTTTCGAATGGATGCCGTGCTCCACAGCGCATCTTTCGTCACGCTGGCGGGGATGCCCGATGATGTTTCGCCCATCGGAAACCAAGAGGGTGTCTTTTTTGAGAGGCTCCCAAAACGGTGGGGTTCCTTCAAACCCGCACAAACATACCTCAAAAAGATGCACCCAAATCGCATGTTGGACTCGGACAGCTATGATAGCTTGACTTCGCATTCTCGCCACGTTGGCATGTTGCGTCGTCCCTCGTCACGCGTTGCGCATTGCAGGGTATTGTGCAAGTTTCAAGGGCCACCGCCAGGCAGCGCTAGTCCACATCAAGATTGTCAACCCCTTTCAGCGTTCGCCCATTTGGCCAGGAGCTTCAATCAGAAACCCCTTCCACAGTGGTTGGTGAGAAAAAAACACCTAAATAGCCCAATTGAAATTCATACCCAATTTGGTTCCAACCAGACTTTTGAGGCTTCGGCACCCCAAGAGAAAAGCAAAACACAACGGTATCGGTCTCAAAATGGTTTGATTCGGACCCAATGTTCGGCTTTCCTTTCGGTTTCCCTTTAAACCAACCCGCAAAATGCTCGGCTCAAACCCATCAGCTGGACTTCCCGCTCGCGGATCGCGAGGCCCTGGCTGGCTCCTCGGCCTTCTCGTTGCAGCGCCGGATCTGAGTAAGACCGAGACCCGGGTCCGGTTTCTTGGTTGACGTTGGAAGGGGAGCAAAGATTTTCAAATTTGGGCAGTTAAGTCGGCATTTCCCACTGAACCACAATAAGCAAAAATGTAAAATGCTTCCCAACAACAACCATGGTTTTGGTAGGTGAAAAGCAGAAAAACGTGCTGGTTCTCTGCGAGCGAGGAAATGACCCCTTTATCAACAATCCCTTGTGGCTTCCTTTAAGGGAATCGAAAACAGTTTCAACACCCTGATTCATTCCCACTGAACACCAGCAAGAAAAAAAGGGGGCCATTGGGGGGCCCGCGTGGCTTGCAGCCTTGATCGGATCGTTTACATTTGGACAAATTGCGATTTTCAGACACCAGAGAAGTATGGAATGAACCCCTGCATGGGCAAGGTCAAACCCCGGCAAGGTCGTCAACACTTGCCCAGATTCATACCAGATTGAGCAATCTAGCGTGCCACAGGCTCGACCTTGATAGGCTCTCATGGTCCATTAGCTGCCATAGGCGGGACGTCCTGATGCAGTTCAAGTGCAGAAAATACATGTAAAATGTTTCGGTTGTTGGAATTTGCCAGGCTTTAACTTTAAGACGGGCATGGAACCACCAAAGAGAGCAAACATATGCAAGATACACTGCATAATTACGGTCATGCACCTACCGTGCTTCAGTTTTGTTAAGCCATGGCCCACTTTTTATTGTCCCCAACGTGTATTTGTGGAGAGACTCCCATGTGCTGTTCAGTTGAACTTCATAGAGGCCAAATGTCCCGCTACACTAGAGTAGTTGAAGAACCACCCAAACCTCCGTTCGGCAGCCAGTACACAAAGAACTAGCATGACGCCACCAATCATCTGAACGGGTGATACTCGCATTTTTGTTCTTGTCATCTGACATGGTCTATGACTCCGGCATCCATGTTCTTTGAAGGGGCTCTGAGCCTTGTCCCAGTGGCCCAGCGACTCTGGTGCAAAGAGAATTGAAACCCTTGCTGGGTCAAGTTGACCACCAAACAAGCCGGGAAAAAACGGGTGAAATCCAGCGAACAGCCGAACAGTTCATCTTATTTTATCCACCTGCACATTACTCCCAAAGCAGTCGGTTGCCAGTGTCTTGAATGACAAGTTTGCAGCTTACAGGGAGCCCTGCTGAACCAGCATTCAGAAAATGCGTTTGCATCCAAGAGGACATGGAGCCCGGGCCATTGGCTTTTGTGGGGCAGTCGGGTATAGACCAGACATGTTTCTCATCTCAAATGATTCCGTAGACCAAACGGGCGTCAAAAATAGAGATATGGACCTTGCAAACGATATGACCATAGTAGCTCCAAGACTCCTTCCTCCGTTTCCTTTGGCTTTCCCAACCAACCCGAAAACGACCTCGATCTCTCGGCGGCCCCGGCGCCCGCCGCGGAATCCACCAGCTGCAGCGTCTTCAGCTCGGCACCTGAAGGCCAAAGTCGGCCTGACCGCCTGGGGGTTCTTTTGTAGCTACAAGGTAAGTACAGGCCCCAGGCATCCCCGACTGAAAGAAATGGACAGAAATTTATATGCCAGGTAGCCTCCCATACTCACTTGAACTGCGCCTGAAGCCCCTTGAAGGTGCTTCAGCATGGCTGTGAAGGTTTTGCGCCTTATTAACCCCAGAAAGACAAGCAATACAACAACTTACTGCATTGTATGGCCAACTCGGGGTGGGTGATGCTCCGCTTACAGTGCAACCAGGGGAAGACAAGCCATGTGCGGCATGTTGGACCATGTCAAGTCGGCAACTCGGAGACACACACTTCTCGAAGGCGTGTGCTTGACACAGGGATTGCGTCATACTGTCGATGGGTATATTCATGAGGGTTTATACGCCACTGGTTGACGGTTCCTTGGCGCATTCTGGATCTGTGGAAGCAAGTTGATGCCCTCCATCAACACAAGTATGTTGTTCCCTTGAGCACTAGACTATTCCCACAGCTGGTGTGGGAAATCATTAACACAGTCGGGAGCAGCAATCTGTCTTGCATCTTTGGATGAGCTACCCCACAGGACGAGTGTGGATCTTGGGAACCACATTTCATATTAATGCTAAAGGAGTCCTGGAAATGGCCTTAAGCTGATGGGAGTTAGCCCAACAACAAGTACTTTATGCCCAGCTTAAACCATCATAACGAGGAGCTGCAAGCACGACGCCTCTTGCGGGATCGCTTCCCATCCTCATGAGACCCGAAACATCGAGATCAGGACAGCCTCCTCTGTTTCAACCAGGAACAACGCAAGTCCTCCCGATCAGGGTAGTCATGTCTTCCATTGGCGGTCAAGCCACGTGGTATGGTGTGGGAAATGCTGAACGGCCTTGTAAATGGACACTTCATCCTCCAGAAGGGTTTCACGCGAGGGGTCCGACGTTTGGTCACACAAAGCCAGCTGGCCATGAAATACGGCTACGAAGATGCCGCCGCTGAGACCGTGCAGAGGCAAGTGCAGCATGAAAATAGGGGAGCCCAAGAGTAGTTAGGTTCTATTGGTTTCAGGCCCATGCAAATGTGTATGCTTTTGTGTGCAATATACACATGTTTGTACATAATATGTATGTAATGTATGAATACATGTGTAATATAGACGGACATTGCGTGGCATGTCTTTCGACTGTCATGTCATCCGCAGTAATCAGCTGCTTTGTGACAGCAACATATTCCCACAGCCACCGCCGCAACGGTCGGGCGAAAATGAGTGCGTAGTCTCACCAGGCTCCTTGAGGAGAAGATCGCCTGCCAGGAACCATGTTTTTGTTTGGTGTGTGTGTGTTGTTGTTCTTTTCTTTTCTTCTGGGTTTAAGCCATTTTCCGGTTTTGGGGGGAAAAACATCGTCTTCCCGGTTCAAGCCACGAGTTCTTGTTATGGCCTGCTGCAGGGTCCCGGCAGCACAAAACCCGAGAGCGGCGCCCAGCAGGCTGTCCACGGCGCAGTGGCCCGGCACCTAAGGGACAAGCGGACCGGACAGGAGAGCCGTAGGTGTGAACCACAGAAATGGATCATAGCTACTGGGGGTTTGGGGTACCGGGATTTTGGGGTTATGGCTAACCATTCAAACAACGAGTGGGCTTGTGGGGTTACTGTTAAAGCCAGGTTTAGTCATTCATAAGCGAGTCGTGCGCGTAACTGCGTGGCACCGTGTATTTATCCAAAAAGCACTCATGTCAGGGGGGGTGGGGTACTGGCAGAAGGCGCTGGGTTGTTTGAACCACGCAGCTGGAGCCGCTTCAGAGGTTGTCCCAACCATTTTAGTAAGACATCCTCGGCAACCAAATGTTGGTGGGGAAAGCAGCAGCAATCAATCTTGAGAAACCCTCAAAATGGTGCTTTAAAGGGAAACCAAAAGGAAAATCCCAATTTGGTCGGTACGAGTACCTTACAAGACACACCCATGTGCCACTTTGCGGTCCCAGTTCCGGGATCGCCTTGAAGACATCGGATTCCCCGCCTCCACGATGCTTGACAGGCGGCTGGGGCCCAGTTGTGCCTGAGCCAACGGTCGTGACGTCGGCAAAGGGAAACCAGTGAAACAGCCGGGGGAGTTACGTTTGTTCTTCCATGGGCAATCTGGAATGGGAACATCTGATACTGGAGTTCACCAACCCGAATCAAGGAATCCACAAGTTGGGGACCTTCATGTTTCGTTTGCAAGCTTCCCCTTGGATAGGTAAGGAGTCTCGAAGCTTGGAGTTGTCCATGTTGCCCCTCTTCTTTTCGGATAGTGTGAAGCAAACTCATCGTCTCCGAAAAACAGACCCACCGTGCAGTCAAAAACCTGCCGACTTGCCACCTGGGCCGCCTGGCCGCAGCTTGATCCAAGAGCTGGCGAGCGTAGGTGGCCGGGTTCCTTGCGGGCGTGAGCTGGGACCGTGGGGAGGTGCCCACAAGGAGAAGCAAAGGCCGGGCAGCGAGCAGGGAATGAGACAAAGCAGTTCAGAAAGGGAAGGCGGAAAGGCAATGAATCACATCTTTTCCCATCTGCTTGTTTCTCTCATGCTGTTTCCCGTCGAATTGCCCCAGCTTCAAAAGGCAATCCCCGATGATTCGGGTGATGAGAAGGAACATCCACTCTGCAACTTGCCCAGGCGGTCCTGTACCCCCCAACCTCCACATCCTCCGAGGGGTTCGCAGGGCTCAGCGCCGACACCCGCGATAGCGTCGACCTCCTGGCAAAGCAATCGAAGTGGGCCCAACAAATCCGCTTTCGGTGCCCCTTTCTGTAAATCAAAGTAGGCTTCCCATCTCTATTGACCGCTGTTTATCACTGAAAAGGAGGAACTCGATGGCCTCTCTGTGAAACCAAATAGAATTCCCATCTCTACTGAGCACTGTTTTTTGTAATGGGATTCGGTGGCTCTCACAGAAAGCGGCACCCCAAAGCCAACAATTCCCCGGTCGCTCGCCAACGAAGGTCCGGCCAAATCGGAAATCAATTGATCACTTGATCCGGGGCGCACGTAAAAGGTGACATCAACACTTGCACAGCGCTTCAGCTGACCGTTGTGAGACTGGTGAAGCTGTGGTTTTAACGCACATCACATCGAGGCACGAAGCTGAGCCGCACACCTAGAGTAGGATGCCTCCAGGAGGACGTTCTGCTCCTCAAACTCGGGGTCCTGCAAGCGCGATAACTTTCAAAGTTCCGGGTGGTGGGCTAGGCTGAACTGGGCTAAACTGTCTGGGCTCTGGGCTGGGCTCAGGGCTGGGCTAAAACGGGGTTGGGCTGGGCTGAACTGGGTCGTGGGCTGGGCTGGGCTCTGGGCTGAGCTGGGCTAAACTGGGTTGGGCTGGGCTCTGGGCTGGGTTGGATTGGGTTGGGTGTTTGGTGGTGTTGGGTGGTTATGATGAACCTGCTGCTGCTGCTGCTGCTGCTGCTGCTGCTGCTGCTGCTGCTGCTGCTGCTGCTGCTGCTGCTGCTGCTGTCAGGGTCGCTGTTGTCTTGTGTGTGGTTGGCAGCATCTTGTCAAATGTTCAGCACGGCCACAACGACTGAAAGCAAGTGAGCGCAACAAAGGAAACGAAAAAAAATCGGTCCCAGTTTGCAGGCGGTCGTTTCTTGAACAACCTCTGTCCAAACGGGCCCCCCAGGCATGAAAACGAGCCATGTGGGTTTTGTGTTTTTGTTGGCGTGTTTGCGTGTTTGCGTGTTTGTGTGTTTGCTTGGTTGTGAGCTTGCTTGCTTGCCTGCCTGCCTGCCTGCCTGCCTGCCTGCCTGCCTGCCTGCCTGCCTGCCTGCCTGCCTGCCTGCCTGCCTGCCTGCCTGCTGGCTTGCTGGCTGCTGGCTGGCTGGCTGGCTGGCTGGCTCGCTGGCTCGCTGGCTCGCTGGCTCGCTCGCTTGCTCGCTCGATTGCTTGCGTGTGTCTTTCGTTCTTATTTTCTTTCTTTCTTTTCTTTATTTATTTATTTATTTGTTTATGTATTTACTTTATGTTATTATCTTTTATTTTATGTTCTGTTATTTTATGTGCTTGTTTCTTTTATTTTATTTATTTCTTTCTTTCTTCATTCCTTTCTTTCTTTCTTTCTTTCTTTCTTTCTTTCTTTCTTTCTTTCTTTCTTTCTTTATTGGTGTATGTCTGTCTGTTGTTTCTTTCGTTCTTTATTTATTTGATTGTTTGTCTTTTTTTAATTTTTTTATTTACTTCTTTATTTCTTTATGTCTTTCCTTTTTTCCTTTCGCTCTTTATTTCGTTCATTGTCTGTCTGTCTGTTTGTTTGGATTTTGGGTTTGCTTGCTTGCTTGCTTTCTCGCTTGCTTGTTTTGTTGTTTGTTTGATTTTTGTTTGCTTGGTCGGTTGTTCGGTTGGTTGTTTGGTTGTTTGGTTGTTTCGCTGGTTGGTTGGTTGGTTGGTTGGCTGGCTGGCTGGCTGGCTGGCTGGTTGGTTGGTTGGTTGGTTGGTCGGTTGGTTGGTTGGTTGGTTGGATTGCTTGTTTGTCCCTATGACATTGTCAATGTCAAGGGGTTCCCTTATCACAGACAGTGGCCACCCAAAGCAACTCGCCTTCCACATGTCCCCCCAACCTGTTGGGTGAAGTGAGATGGCACAATTCCAACCCATTTGGGCCACTGTTGCTCTTTGCTTCGAATTGTGCCATCCACTTTGGTACTTCGTGCAAAACCCAAGCCAGTCCAGCTTCGGCTTCCAGGGCAGGTGCTGGGCCCAAGAGGAAGGTCGCAAGAAGCAGCGGCCCTCCTCCTGGGTGCAACCGGGACCACTCCGACCTATTCGGGGATTTTTGACCCCCTTTTGGTGTGTCTTTCAAGCAGGAACAAACCACATTTTAGGGGACTCCTTCGAGCAACCCCCGTTCTTGGAAAGTTTCAAGAGGAATCTCCAGATACAGGATTGGGTGATATACTTTTCGCCCAAGCACGTTTCTATGTTGCCCAGAGCATCACAAAAGAAGGAGCCTGCCTAACGTCTCTTGCTCTCCTGGAGCAAAATACATTGACCGAGCTGATATATGCTGTGCAAAGCGCGCGGGCAAACTTGTTCTGAGGAGGCTGCAGAATCGTGAAGCGAGAATTTATTTACACAATTTCCAATTTGCCAGAACTCAGCAGCTTTTCTGACATGTATTGTAGGTTGGGCATCATGGACCGTCTTCTCCGCGCAAGGCACGGAATATTGCTTGCCCAAATGGATGCATGGTGCGGAAGATCGGAAGCCAACGCTTGTCACTGCGAGACATTGGAACCGTCAGGCAGGCACGCATGCAGGCCGAACAGCTGAGCTCTAATCATCATTCGGCCAGGCTAAAGCCCAGGCGTTTCCCTGCAAAGCCCATGACCAGAGAAGCGTTTGCAGCTTTGGCCTAGCAACCCCAAAAGCCTCCACAACACCCCAAGTCTACCTTGGTCCAAATGGCACCCCATGGAATGGGCCCCAGGGAAAGGGCCGTCTAGAGCAAGGAATCGGCTCACTGGAGGGCTGGGATCCACAGTCCCACTTGGAATTTTGTGAGGGCGTTTTGTGGCTTGGTTTGAAGGGAAACCACCAGGAAACCACCATTTCAAGGGTTCTCGATTTTGACACAATAGACCTGAGGATTCTAAGGCTGCCACCTTCCGCTCTTGCGTTCCATCTTTGATTGGGAAGCCTGACATCCACTACACGCTGAGAGGTCCCAGAAATTGACGCGCCCTTTTTGTGCTACCCCTTTCGGGGGTTGTCTTTGAGATCAAAAGAAAACCCGCGCCTCAAAAGGCGCAGCCACCTGTGGCCCGAGTCCGCTTTGGACTGGATAGACCTGCGAGCGAACACGCTCGCGCTCGGCCCTGGGAATGTAGGGGATTGGAGAGGCGTTTCTTGCAACGCGCTTAACCTCTTGGGACCTTGACTGTTTACTGGACAGCCTGGGAACAAGGCAAAAAGGCTGGCTTTGGGCAAGTGAGGGTAAAGCCTTCCGCTAGAGCCTGGGCTGTTGGAACGAAACGTCCTGTGCCTCCGGAAACGGGACTTGACTTACAGCAGGGAGGGATCAATCATCCAACTCCCAATGCGTAGAGCAACAACTCAGTGGGGATCCGGTGCACTCTTCTCCCCTCACGCATCCCCATTCACCACAGGCAGGCTTCCTCTGCAGCACCACCCCGGAAACCTGGTTGCCTCTTTTTTGGCATTTTGGGGAAGGACAAGGATCCTCCTGGTCTCATTTGTTGCCCAAACCCTGTTCGAGATTTCAGCCTTCAAAAGGCCCAACTAGTCCAAGCGTACCTTGTGAGGATCGGATATACCATTGACGCATATCTGACGCGTGACACATGTTCAGCACATGCTTCATGGCCTCATGCTTCCTGTCAAGCATGTTCCATTCGAGTTTGGTCAAGTCAGGGGATTCTGGCGCTTATCTAATCCAGGCAAATCTGAACTGCCACACGCCAAACAACACCAATCAAGGCTGGGGGATGGAAGCCCATTTTACAAGCCTCGACCACTCTGAATGAACTTGGTAAAATGGTGTTATCATCCGAAGTACACATCAAGTTGCCAAAGAGTGCAGAATCAAATTGCTCTAAGTGGCCCCCCATGTCCCTCCATTTTCTGTGTTAATAAGGCAAAACCACCGAAACCTCAAGCAAGTGACTCAGAGCACAAGGCTGAGGCTCAAACTTTGATCGCATGTTTGCGGCCCGGTACCCTTCAAATTTCCGTTGTTCGGTCTCCAAAGCCGAAACCCCCTCTTTGGAGAACCCGAAATGCGATGAGAGCCGCTTGTAACGTGTTCCTCCCATCTCCCGTCGAGCCCCAGGCCTGGAACTGCCACCTGCCGGACCAAAAAAGTAAGGTGAGTCAAGCGGGAACAGCACCCAGTCTCTGATCCCAACACTACCCCCTGAAACAGTCAAAATAGTGACAGTTGGTTTTACGGCCGAGTTGGTCTAGCACAGAACCGGGCTCTTCGAATGGTCGCTTCCATTCCCGCTATAAAGTACCACATGCTTGTAGTTGATTCCGGCCATGACCGTACTCCCGACAAAACCGCATGGTGTTACGGGCTCCCGTTTCAAGGAAATTCATGCGCAAACAGGTGTCTTTGTTTTGGAACTCCGATCTGGAGAGACATCTTCCCCAGAAGCCGAGGGGAAACGCAATCGACGTATTCAACAAGGTGACGTTCCCTGTTTTTGCTGGTAGTGTCAGGTAGTGATTCATGCATCGGGAGGTTATACCAAAAAAGCCTTCCCAACATTACTGCCGTTCCTGACAAGAAAGAAGGGGCCCGTCCGAGTGGGCCAGTAACATGCTCCCCGGAATACTAAACCAATGCTAGACTAATAGTAACCTATACTTGACACAACCCTTTACCAAAACCGCTCCCCGGACAAATGTTCAAGGGGGTGGTACACGAAGATTCCTGAAATGGAATCATGATATATGCGTGATGGTTGGAAAAGAGAAACCCCAAAATCCCCAGCCAGTTCAAAGGAACCCTAAGCGCTCCAAGGAACTCTCAACCAAGACTAAACCAATTCTGGAGACTACTGGGCCAGTATACGGGAATGCTAAACTAATAATAAAGCAATTCAATTCTAAAGGCTCCTGAGCCAGCACAAAGGAATCTTGCTCTTTTTCATGCTCCTGCAGTCAACGAGGGTGCAGCCCAGCATGATGGCTGCCATAGTTTCATCACGGCATTGATGCGCAGGGGACGAGCCGACGGTTTCGTCCAACTGGTCTATGATGACCTGAAAGAACTTGGCCTCATCACTCTCCAGCATGGCCAAGGCGTCAGACCAGCCGCCCTTGTGTTCCTCCGCCTTGATCGTTCATAAGGCTTCTCTTTGTCTCACCTGTCTCACTTCACCAGTATATCCGATTTCGTGACCGATGGCAATTGCCCCAAGGCGCGCAGGTGACAAAAAAAAAGAAAGAGCCAGCACAAAGGAATACCAACCAATTCTAAACCACTACAAAGCAGTCCTTTCTGCAAGGCGACTTGAGAAGGCTCAAGTCTGACCTGTTTGCGGGCACATTGCTTTAAAGAGAAACCACCAGGGCTGGCGCAAGGTGTTCTCGCTACCAGCATCCGGTGTGTTCAAAAGGAAAGGCCACATGACATGTTTAACAAGTAAATGTTTGAACAAGTGTAAACAAAGGAGTGATCGAACCCTGGACACCGCCAAACCCGGCACAGTACGAGCGCCCCACTGCTGCTGCTGGGTCTCGAAGATGTCGGCAAAGCTGAGACCCACCTGGAGCCCAGTTCCCTGCATGATGAGTTGATTGGCCATTTATTGGCTTGCTCATACCGAGGTTTTTTCCATATTATCCGCCTGAACATTAACCTACTGGTGGCTTCGTTTTGTTGGTTGTATACACATATCAATCGAAGATGGCTTCTAACCCGCAAAACCCCAAGGACTCAAGAGAAATCCGGTCATAATATTATATCCGGGGCTTTTTGGTGGCTGTATATCCTAATTCAACTTCTAGGGTGGGCAACGTTCGAATAAACACTCCTTGAGGACTAAAACGGTCCTTTGTCATGTATGTGTATATATATATATATATATGTATGTGGGTGCGCGTACGGACGAACGTACGTACGTACGTACGTACGTACCGTACGTACGTACGTACGTACGTACGTATGTATGTATGTATGTATGTACGTACGCATGTATGTACGTATGCACGGGCGTACGGATGTACAAGTTCAAGGCCGCGGACTGGCCACCCCACCCAAGCAGTCATGACCCTCCCCAAAGCCCGTGCCGGCATGCCAGGCGCACAGAAAACACAACTGCGGGTCCTTGAACACAACTGCAAGCGGGAGGGCCAGTAGTGTCTCAGCAGAAGCTACGAGGACAAGCCTGCAGCGCAAGGCTTTACAGGCTGTGGAGACCGGATATGCATTTATAATTGTCCATGCGGATACGGGCGGGGATCTGTTGGTGGAGTTGTGACCCACCAGTGTTGAGGGCAACTCTGAAAGCCCGTCATTCATTGCAGGGAACCCGTCTTCACGTGTTCGAAGGATGGGTTCCCCCAAACTGTCGTACAAAGCCCACTTGAGACCTGGCCGCACAACCTCTGAAATGTTGCTTGAGGCGGCTCTGTCCAAGCAAGGGGGGGTTCTAAAGGGAGTCTGGGATCCTTTGGACCAGTTCCCTTGTGCATTTCTCGTTAGGGTGGTTGGAGAGAAACCCTTTCTGGGTTGCTCCCAAAAAAAACACTCAACGGAAAACATCCGGTTTTCGCCAACCTTGCCCAAATAAGCATTGGGGTGGTGGGGCAGCTTTCAAAAAAGGTTACCCGGAAGGGTTCCGGGGGGCTCATGGGGATTCTACCTGGGCTTATTTTTGAAATGAGGAAGCTGGCAAGCGCCACCCCCAAATATCCACCTAGCTAATACATATGATTCCAAACTAGTTCTAGCTTGCGCCATGCACAGAAAGGTGACGGGGGACAAGAACGCCCTGCCTCCCGGAAACGACAGGTGCTCTGGGGTGTTAGGGCTTGACAGAGTCCATCGCATGCCTCCCGTACCTATTGGTTGTTGGCCTCCCGTACCTGAAGATACGGTGAAAAGGTCGATACCTTGCCTGGTGCGCAAAGGTCTTCCCCCGGTCTGGCTGCATTGTAGTGTGGCCTGGGATTCGCATCGCTCAAGCTCAGCCCCAACAAGAGGTCAACCAGGCTTCCTGATGTTTCCCTTTAAGCATTCCCCTGCCAAAGCCTGATTTGATAGGCATTGGCCAAACAGGTGATGTTCAAACCACCCGAGGGGACGTGTCAGGACTCCTGTCAAAAGGCGAGTTGGTAAAGTGTTGGCCCCCCAGAATGGGATCGCAACAAACGCCATGACCATCCAATGCTCCCTCAGATTTCTTTGGCTGGGCTCCCTAAAACAAACCGAAAGAATCTCAAAACCGACTCACCTGGGACTGAGCCCTTGGTTCAGTCACCAAACAGACGAGTATGCTGCACTTTGGGGGTTCTTCCCAGTCTTGGGTAGGGCCAACCGCCCATTTCAACATGTTGAAACCGGTGCTCGAACATCTTGCACTTGTACCGAAAGGAATTCAAGCATCTGGAGGTTGGGATCATGCTTTCGGCTTGTCTCATCGCAGAACCTTCAACATAGGTTCCCTCTAAACTTTGACTCTAAACAACCATGACCCCTGGGTGCGCTGCCCAAGGAAAAGCCCTGCGCAAGCTCCTTGCGGCCAGCCGTAGGCATCAATCTCCAACATGAAACGTGAACAAAACGTAAATTGGTTACAGCTTATCAAGACCGTAAATGACAGAATTACAATTAGATCATTTAGTTGTTTATAGATCTCCAGATTTATCATGACTCGAGCATGGATGTGTGTAGGAATCGTAAATTATATCATGTGCTTTACTTTGAGTCACCTGCAAAATGTAAACATGTCCCCGAACCTTTGTAACAGGCAATTTGTGCAAGCAAACAAAACTCATCACCCCTTGTGGTCATGCCCTCCCCCCCTCCCCCCCCCCACCACATGTATTTTTAAAGCACAGGGTCGGCTTGCGTTAACCCTTTTGAGATGTTCGATGCCATCGAACAATATCCATGGGTGAGTCAAGTATGCTATGCATCTTGCAGCTTCCAGTGCCTCAAGGCACTGGCGAATAGGGGCTTTTTGCATTCTTGATGTCAACATCTTTTGGACCAGACAGACCCTGTTTGACGTTCACTCCAAAACAAGGGGACCCTTAGCAATAGTGCATTCCATTGGGCGTCCCTTGAAAACGACACACATTAAAAGGGGTCTCCCCATGTTGAACACCGGCATCATGAAATCAATTGATGGGGGTGCTTCTCAGTGCATTGCTTCCTTGCATCTCAGATCAGGGCTCTCTTTGTTGGCTTCCGCTTCAATCATTGTCAGGCATCAAGCAGGGCCACGTATCCGCACTCCACACGGGAAAGTTGTCTGGACAAGCGCTCCACTGAGCCCCGGGGACTATGGACATTTGGCGCCACATGTTTGTGTGCTTCCTCTTTGAGTAACGAGTTCTGAAGAGGTGTGTGGATGGATGACTTGGACAATGGATGGATGACTTGGACAGACCAAGCAGCATGAAATGGCTCGCACCCACCCACCCACCCAGCCATCCACTCACCCACCTATGCCCACCTAGCCTTAGGTGTTTTTCTTCACCTCACAGTCTCCGCTTGGCTGGTTTCTCATCCAGACCCGGTCCCTTTCCAATTTGGGGGGTGCCTTCGCCAAATCATGACCCATTTCCTTCTCCATTTCAATCCTAAGACTTGGGTGGGAGGCCTTAGCCTGAAATATGGTGGAATCAAAAGAGAAGCAAAATGGTGGCTGTTTGGGTTGTTTCCTGTTTGAGACCTTCAAAAACCCCTAAACACCTGGAGCCGTGCTCCTGTAAGCCTTCCGTTTGCCAAATGTTGCACTAAAATAAGTGACCCACCTCATGGTCACTTCCTTGCCGGTTTGCCTTCGAAACCCTCTAAGGAGGGGTCTGTATTGGCAAGGCTCATTTTTGCACCTTCTTTTTTGGGCCAATGTTTCTTAGGCGTGGCTGCAAAAAAAACCGCCCCCTCTGCATACCTCCCCCAACAGCCTTGGAACCCCCCTACAAGATAGACTAGGCCTTGCCCCTCTGCATATTTCCATCCAGTCATAGGATCCCCCCCACACTGTTTGGCACATTCTGAATACACCGACTAGAACAACCCATTTTCAACCTTCGGTCCAATCACCCAGCCAATCCAACATCAAAAAACACGTGTTCTCATACCCATCTTCATTTCTTACTCCATCGCAACTTCAGCCCTACACTCAATCAATAACAACAGTCAGAACTACATACCACCTTAACAAATCCCACCGGAAAAATCCAAGCTACATACCAACAAATCTTCACTCTCAATCTTCAACCCTCAAAATCTCAATACGTTCTCCCTTCATCCAAGTTGACACCCTTACCCATTTCCAACAAATTCGATACAGTCCAAAAAAACAACCCTATGTTCAACCCCCAAAAGTGGTTGACCAATGGGAAATCATAAGGGCTAACTCAAAACATGTCAACAATCCCAGTAAATATGGATGGCGATATGCGGATGGGCAAGGCTTAGGTAGATAGTCACCACCACGGCTTATATAATAAAAGCATACATATACATTCTTATATGTTGTAACTATAGCAAAATCATACTCTAATTAGATATCATAAATACAATTCCGTTTAATCATGTTTGTTGTTTTGTTGCTTGTCTTCTCATTGTAAATAGTATTTCCTGTTTCCTTTGTCAACCAGCCCAATGTTCTCATTGCTCTTTTTACTGTATTTTCAAGCTCAGCTTATACGTGCATTGTAAAAAAATCAAAGTCATTCTCATTCCATGCTTCATATGTTGATCTAATCGCTTTACAATACCATAATGCTCAAAATAGAGTCATTATTATTTCCATCATCATCACCAGTATATAATAAATTATGAAACTCTTCTACAATCAAGAATTTCTTCATTTCAACAAATACGAACATCTCCAAATCTTCATCAAGGGTATTTACTAATATTCACAGTGCTACACTCCCACTTAGAATTATGATTTTGAATAGCACTGATGTCTGTTGAACATTTATCACACGCTTTATGTTCACAAATATTAATTGAAACACCATCTGAAAACCCTTGTTTAACTGTTGATTTTAATAAAGAACAATATCTACACTTGTAACTCATATACTTATTGATTAACATGGTTGATATCATTTCAGACTCATAGCATTCACTTTCTGTACCCCTAATCCATGAAATGACAAGGCAACCTTGTTCAATGGGAATTGTCAAACTTGTGGGACAGTGGTGAAATTACCTTACCCTGCAAGGGATGCCTTGGGCAGTTGCTGTGGAATACTGGGGCAGTTGATACGGCTTTTTAGGCCTGTTGCTCCGGAAGTCTAGGGCAGTTGCAACGGATCAGTCTAGGGCAGTTTGCAACGGATTTCTGGGGCTGTTGCGTCGGAAGTCTAGGGCAGCTGCAACGGATTTCTTGGGCTGTTCTGGGGCTGTTGCAACGGATTTCTGGCGCTGGGACAGATTTCTGGGGCTGTTGCGATTGTTGCTAAGTCAGTGGCAACTGTCGCCCAGGCCAGGTGGAGCGATCGCCCTGGTCAGTTGAAACTGTTGCCTACGTCTGTTGATCCAATATAGCCTTGTTCATCGCCAATCCAACACCACAAAACACGTGTTCTCATACCCATCTTCATTTCTTACTGCATCGCAACTTCAGCCCTACACTCATTCAATAACAACAATCAGAACTACATACCGCCTTAACAAATCCCATCGGAAAAACCCAAGCTTCCTACCAACTAATCTTCACTCTCAATCTCCAACCCTCAAAATCTCAATAATTTCTCCCTTGATCCAACTTGGCACCCGTTCCCATTTCCAACAAATAAGAACAGTTTAAAAAACAACCCTATGTTCACTCCCCAAAAGTGGTTAACCATTAGAAAAGGGAATATTCTAACCGTTAACCCAAATCTTGAAAATGATCTGTAAATATGGAACCCCTCCAGACGGGCCGGTTTTTTGATTTTGGGCCCCATTCGAAACCGGACCGCATGGCGCGGCCTGCATGGCGCGCTCCATGCGCTTCCGGTTCGTGGGGCCCAAAGGCACCTCGCGATTCGGGATGCGGGGCGAAACGAGCGAACCAGAAAGAACCAACGGGTACCCCAAAAGCACGCCACCAGAAAGAAACGGCCCATCAAGCCGGAGGCACTCCCTAACACCTGAGGGCTGAGGACTAGTTTCCATAGACCATTTCTCAGCTGGGTTCCAAGTTGGCGGACAGGAGCAGAATTCGAATGGGTTTGCGGGGTACTTGAAAAAACAATCTTAGTCGAGTTTAGAGAGGAACAGGGTGTATAATTGTTTAGCCCCTTCATCCAAAACGGGGACACCCGTTGCTTTTTGCAAGCCCCCAACTTGTGCCTTCAAACCGCTACTCCGTTTGGAGTATAGAAAGCAGGGGTCAACAAAGTGCCCCATCCCAAGACCTGAAGAGAAGGGGATTCTCATCAGCAAGGGTGTTTTTGGAACCCCAGATGCGGGACCATGAGAATTCGACCGGCAACTGTCTGATCATGACCGAAAGGCAAGCCAACCATTGTACCAAAGGGAGAAAATTACTTTGCTTCGAGCAATCCCCACTTCCCATCGGCCCTTTTGAACATTAAGCAAAACCGGACTGAGCTGCTCTGGCGTGATGCTGGCGGGATCCGCTGGCGAATGCTGGCAAGCCGCCCCGGCTTGATACTCGGGATACTCGGCGGGATCCACTGGCGGGCCGCTCTGGTGGGATGCTCGGAGGGATCCACTGGCGAGCTACTCTGGCGGGATACGGGATACTTGGCAGGATCCACTGGCGAGCTACTCTGGGATACTCAGCGGCGGGATCCACTGGCTGGCTGCTCTGGCGAGCCGCTCTGGCGGGATGCTCGGCCGGATCCACTGGCGAGCAGCTCTGGTGGGATACTGGGCGGGATCCACTGGCCAGCTGCTCTGGCAGGATACTTGGCGGGATCCACTGGCGAGCCGCTCTGGCGGGATACTCGGCGGGATCCACTGGCGAGCAGCTCTTGCGGGATACTGGGCGGGATCCACTGGCGAGCAGCTCTGGCGGGATACTCGGCGGGAGCTACTCTGGCGGGATACTCGGCGGGATCCACTGGCGAGCTGCTCTGGCGGGATACTGGGCGGGGGCGTGGTGTAGAAGCATCGCAAACGCAGATTCCAACATAAATTCTAACAACCCTTCCTGTCGGGTGGGGAACAAGACTTGAACAGGTGGAGGAAAAAGGAAAAACAACACCTTGAAACTTTTTGGGCAGGCCCATCTCCCCATCCGTGCCCTTCAAGGGCCGCATCCGAATCCAAAGGCCCAACTGTCGCTCCGCGTCAAAAGGTGAACCCTCGAAGTACTCGAAAGCGGGGGTCAACATGAAACCAAGCATGGATCTGAAGCCAGGGGGTCCAAGGCAACACGGTTTCTTGTTGTCTTCCGTTTAAAACCCACAACACCCTTAAGACTCAAACAAACACAACGCGTGGTCGGATTCCTGTACTTCCTCAATGTATCGGGCTTTGAGGCCTGAAATCCAACTGAGCTTTGCAAGCGCTATGCCATCGGGCCTCTGTGCGCAATTGACCAATCCTTCTGCCCACAGATCCCGACCCAAAATGAACCTGCGAACCCAACACGGATCTGCAGGAGTACCTCCCCCAGCGCATTCCGCGGTTCCGCACGCAAAACGCGGCCGACGCAACAATCGGAGGCCCGGCGGACAGAAGTGGCGCCGCCGAGCCGAGGTTGGACTGGATGACGCGGTGGCAGCCTCAGTCGCTCTTGGTTTTAAACATCAACATCACCCACCCTTTGGGCCTTTGAGGTAAGTAGGGAGGATATGGTGGACTTATAGGGCCTATTTTGCAGACTTACTCCATTACTACTTAGAGCTCTTAGCCGAAACCACCGTGTTGATGTATACTGTTTGAGGAAAGCAATATGTGGGTCTCAAAAGAGGAGCTCAAATCGGAACCCATCAGTTTTTCAGCCACCCCAAATCGGGGGTACAGAAGTCAAAACAGGACACACCCAAACCGGGACCCTGGACTTAGGGCTCCGGCCGCCACTGCTTCCCTCGCAGGCAATCTCCATGACCTCCACATGGATTCGCGTACCAGCCCCCCATTCCCACAACTCTGGTGGAACCTAGACTTTAAGGGGACATCTCAAAAGTTGAGTAAAACAATGCTACACCCAAAACCAATCATGCTCTGAGATAATTTGCCCTTTGATCCCCTTCTGGTTCAGATTGAACTCGAAAGTGAAGAGACTGCCTTGAAGAGGGTTCCCTGCAGTTTCAGGGGTCCCTTGATTCTCGACCACTGTGTCAAAATGTGTCAGAAGAGTTTCCCTGAATATTGCTGGCACGGAAAAATTATGGCAGAAAGAAATATGTTGGGACCCCTAAGAAAGAGAGCATGATACTAACCAATCTTTACTAATCATTCTCAACAGAGGTGAATAAGCTTCAACCCAGAAGAAATGGGTTGGCAAAGCCACCGAAAACGAATCGAATTATCAAATTGAATTGCAAACGTTCACCTAGTTGCGCTAAGTTGACGCTTCGATTGCTACAGATTTATAGACAGTCCTCATGGTGTTTCAAGGTGCTTCAAGGGAATTTACAGGGAACAGACAAGGTCGATTTAAAACTTTCAGGGGAAGCAAATATGATAAGCCTTCGACCGACTATCTGTCTTTCCAGAACTGAGTGAAACATAAAATGGACAACATTCTGCACCAGTTGGCAAGTGGCCAGTAGGCTTCATACATCCAAACCGGCGCAGGCTTTCGTAAATCCACAGTAGCGAGACTCAAAAAAAGAAGAAGCCAACAACACCTGGTTTTCTGTTGGCTGCCAGAAATGGGCTTAACAAGAAGAGCTGTGAACCCCACAGAAACCAACGAGGCTTTGCTTCCCTTCTCTCGGCGGAGAAACCCTGACGAGTCCCCTGGGCCCCAGGCGGCCCGGTGCTCCAGGCTCTTGCGCCAGATGCGGGCGCGCGCGGCGAAGCCCAGGTACTGCAGCTGCAGCAAATACCGGCGCCTCGGCGTGCTCTCGCTGCATAGGGTGTGCCGGCGGTGAACGGTGCACTGCCTGGAGGTCCATATGTGTGTGTGTGTGTATATATATATATACACACACGTAAATATACATATAGTATGCATATATGTATATATATATATATATACATTTATACATATATATATATATATATGTATATATATATATATATGTATGCAGTTGTATGCATACATACATATATATACAATATATAGTGGAAAAACACAGTCGAAACCATGTAGGACCTTCCCATTTGGATTGCTACAACATTGGACGAGTGAAGAAACCTCAGGAGCGGGTCGGTCCAACTTAACTTTTTGAACAAAACAAGGGAATGGGCAAAAACCCTGATCATGCGCTAGCAAGACAAACATAGGGACCATTTGGGGTTCCGGCAAAGGTGACAATTGGGTGCGCGCATGTTATGCTTATCTCTTCAGTTCATCTAATCATCGCAAACTGTCCGGCTGTTCCAAGCATTCCGACTTCTGGGTTGGGACGGACCCCGAAGGCGACCCGTGATGGGTTGCCTTGCAGACAGGGTGCGGGATGCAACAGGTTTACATAGGATATTCTTCAAAGATATAAGGCCTATTTGTGCCTTTTCCCTTTGTCTTTCTTTCTCGCGTCCTCTTTCTCTTTCTATTTATTCTTCCTTTTCTTGTTTCTTCTCTGTCTCATTCTTTGTCACTTTCTTGTTTTCTGCTTCTCTGCCTACCCCGTGGCTCTCTCTGCCTCTCTCTCTCTCTCTCTCTCCTATCCATTTACCTACCTAGCTAGCTAGCTAGCTAGCCATCTATCCAGCTATCTAGATTATTTTCTCTTTAGCTTTTCTCTCGCTCCCTGCCTTTTTCTCACTTTGGCTCCTCTCTCTCTCTCTCTCTCTCTCTCTGTAATTGAAGGCCGATCCCCGAAAGCAAGAGAAGGCTCCGTGAGCGATTCGAATGTTGATGGTCCACCCAACGAAAGTCCACAAAGGGCTCACCACTTGATGGTTGCGAAGCAGTACGAGCGAACGTGCTCCGCGAAGCGCATGTGGAGGAGCCGAACTTTTTGCGCACAGGTTCTTTGCCCGCTTCTATTTTCCGCTCTTTTCTGGCATTTTGTTCTTAGCTTTCGCACACGCAAGGCATATTTTCAAGGAAAGCACACGGTTCCAGTACCATGGAAGTTCCTGTCAAACGCCCTTTGACCATGTCCATGCAGAACTCCTGCTCAGCTCCCTTTCTGATAAGGCAAATTTGGATACCCCCCAGCCCTCCCTTCCCACCAGCTTCAGAGGCCTTCGAAAGCCGATTTCTCGACTAGGCCGCCGGGCAAGTC